GGTAACTCTTTGGACTCAGGAGAACAACACATTGCAGAAGCTACTTCAAAAATCACAGGATTTTAATGCTTTCCCTCTCAATATATTTTAGAAACTGTGCTTAATTCTTTAATACCTACATATTTTTCCAGCAAGAACTAATCATTAATACTCCACCAGAAATTCAACCTTTGATGTTCATCTACCGATCCCGTCCACTGAATTAATAAAGAATATATTATAATCTTAAAAAAACTATACAACCATCTTCCTTTACAACTTAAATCTCCAACATCTTACCCCAATTTCCGTAAAATGACAAAAGCCTATCTATCTGACAGACTCTATTATTCAGTAGAAGAATTTCTTAATGAATAACTAAGAAATTACAGTACTTTTATGTACACGTAACTACAGTATTATCTATATTTGTGTACCGTATGCAGCAACTTATTTATTTAAATTTCGCAATTGATTGTTAATTTGATTATCTTTTATTTTTTTTGATATTGACGATTTATGTAATTTCAGTAAACTTTAAGTGGTTGTAATTTTCCGATTTTTTTGTAAGTTTTGTCCATAAAATTGTACAATATTCACTGACAATAAAACCTATGTCTAACTCTAAAAAAAGTTCAAATTTTTTTATTATTCCTTTTTTATTTCTCTAACTTTATGCTTCATCATTTCCGACATGTGAAAAAATCATCATCATCATGGTTTACACTTTCGCGTATTATCATATTCTGATGTGGATTGCCGTAGTAAGGCGGACAAGAACATAATCCGACTGAGAGTGACCTATGTATGAGATGTGAAACTTGGGTATTAACTCAAAAATCTGTAAACCGCATGGACATCTTTGAAAGAAAGGCACTGAGACGAATATTAGGCCCTATAAAAGAAAAGAGATGGCGGATCAGATCATCATCCAGCCTTCTGCGTCCAAAGTTAAATGTTGCCTCCCCCAATTTCGAGAATATTTTCGGATGTCGAATGATGAATTACCTAAATGAATATTTTGGCAATCCGAGGGCGGACAGGTCACTATAATTCTGTCTACTACACTCTACTACTCTTCTCTTGACTAAGGGAGTAAACCCTAACAGAAAATCCTGGTCCTCCTGGTAGGGGGTTGGGACGTAGGGCCTGCTCCTATACACCCGTAAAAAAAATTACTGCAAAAAATTCTAAAATCCAGCCTCGGAATACGGGCGGGAAAAAACGAAGACGACGTAGCAAACGAACAAGGACTTTAAATATAAATATATGGAATATCCAAGGGTGGAGAACCAAGTCAGACGAAGTCATGGCAGAAGTAAAGAAAATAAAATCAAATATCACGGATCTTACCGAAACAAAGAAAAAAGGCCAAGGTAGTGAAGACATAGGAGGTTTTATATATATATATATATATATATATATATATATATATATATATATATATTTATAGTGGAGTAGAGAAAGACAAAAGAGCACAAGCAGGGGTATCAATATTGATAAAAAAGACTTAAAAGGCAACCTGAAAAGCTGGGAGCAGATCAATGAGAGAATTATTAGAGTATCTATTACGTGGAAAGGGCACGACCTCGAGATCATTGGAATATATGTTCCATCAGAAAATGCGTCAAAAGCAGTTAAACAAATATTCTACAAAACTTTATCGGAATTCATTGAAAATATAAATAGCCGCAAAGAAATTGTGTTGTTGGGAGATTTTAACGGTTGGACAGGAACAAAAACAAATGACAAAGTCGTAGGAAAATATGGTGACGCTAAAATAAATGAAAATGGGGAACACTTAATCGAATTCTGTGAACAGCACTCTCTGAAAATCGTAAACGGATTCTACCAACATAAAAACATACACAAGTACACCTAGGTTCAACCAACGAAAAACACAAAATCAATTATAGACTATGTCATCACAAAACAAGAAACACATACAAGTTAAAGATATAAGAATATTAAGAGGACCGGAGTGCGGAACTGACCACTATATGGTAAGATCAAAATGTTACCTACAGTATCGACCTCGGCTACTACATCAAAATGACAACCAACTAGCTCAATCAAGACCCCTGGAATTGAATCTACCTAAATACAATATTGATGCACTGCAAAACGACTCGACATCATTCCTATATAAGCTGCGACAGACAAAAATTGGCAAACCTGATCTACTTCTCAGCCCAGAATACCTATAAAGAGATAATCAATAAAATCAATGAAGCAGCTTACAAAGCGCTCGGCACAATCCAAAAGAACAAAAAGAATACTCCATTGTGGTGGACAAGTGACATCGCCAGTGCAGTACACAGAAGAAACAAGCATATCAAAAGTGGCTGCAAACAAATCATCCAGATGATAGACGAACATATGCAAGATCAAACAAAGAAGTAAAAAATTTTAGTAACTAAAGCAAAAAATATTTCCTGGGAAAGTAAATGCGAAGAACTCAACAAATATATAGGGTCAACAAGATCAAGAGACGCATGAAAATCGGTAAAAAATCTGAGAACAAACAGAAAAGAAACGAGTAGAATAGATTTAATAGAAGAAAGATCTTGGATTGAACACTACTCACAACTTTTGATTAAAACAAGACCTCAATTCACGAACATCAGTACAACAACATATGAACTGGAATTCAGTGAAGACGATGAAATAACAGTACAGGAAGTCGAGAATGCAATACAAACTCTAAAAAATCGGAAGTCATGCGGACCACAAGGTATACCAAATGAATTATTAAAACATAGCCCACAAGTATTACGGGAATTACTGGCGTATGTCTTCACCTTATTCTATAATGGGCACGACTTATCACCGGAGTGGACAAAAGCACATATTAGCAACATCTAAAAAAAAGGAGATAGAAAGAATTGTTCAAACTACAGGGGGCTAAGTGTCATAAATTCACTCTCAAGACTGTATGGAAAAATAATAAAAAATAAAATTGAAAAAGAGATGACAGATGTAGAAGAACAGATTGGCTTTCGTGCAGGCAGATCATGCATGGAAAGTATATTCTCTCTAAAGCAAATTATCGAGAAAAGATTAGCCTACAACCTTTCAACTCATATAGTCTTTATAGATCTGACAAAGGCATACGATAGTGTACCACTTTCAATGCTTTGGGTAGCAATGGAAAAACAAGGAATAAGCAATAAAAATATACAAGTAGTACAACAGCTCTACAAAAATATGACGGCAAACATTAACACTGAAAATAGATTAACTAGAGAAATTCCTATTAGTAAGGCCTAAAGCAAGGCTGCTGCATAGCACCTACACTCTTCAAAATATATCTAAATGAGGCACTCTCACGGTGGAAAAGAAAATGCTGCAATATGGGCATCCCAATCGGAGATGATAGATTGTACACGATACACTTCGCTGAGGACCAAGCCATTTTAGCTGAAGACAAGAGTGATGTAGGCTACATGCTTAGAAAACTAGAAGATGAGTACACCAAATGGGACCTCACAATTAATATACAAAAAACTGAGTACTTAGTTGTAGGAAACAAGCAGAAACCCTACAAATCGAAATGGGAACTATAAAACCAACAGACAATTTTAAATACTTGGGAGTCCAAATAACATCAAAAGCAGGAAGTAGCGAAGAAATACAATCCAGGATTGGCCAAGCAAGATCAGCCACCAGACAGCTACACGGACTATTAAGGAATAAAAAAATAAAAAAAGAAAATAAAAAAGAAGAATTTATAAAACAATAATAGAACGTATTGGGCTGTACGGCGCCGAACTCTGGGAAACAAACCAAAGAAACCAATCAAAAATTAAGGCCATGGAAATGAACTACTGGAGACGATGTTGCCAACTCACTAGACTTGATAGGGTGAGAAACGAAGATATTCGGAGATAAATCGAAATCGATCTAGACATAATAGACACATCGCATAGTAATCAGGTGCAACACTATTATATATCCAGTATGTACAACATTGTTGCAGGGATATTTTTTTTAAATAATTTTTTCATGCTTACTCTATGTAAACCTGCATAATTTGTTTGAACATCTATAACTTTATCTTGTTGTTAAGTGACATTGATTTTTTTTGTCAGAGTAATCGGTGCGTTTTGATTTGGTTTGAGTTTACAAACAGGCTTACAAACTCCTTCTGATGACGGGTAGACCCAAACAGGTGTCAGGGAGTGGTAAGTGACTCAAATTAAATCGCAACGCAACCTTCTTCGTATATTTATCGTCCTTACTCGACGCAATGAGTACAATAATGATGGTAATTTATATGGGTAAATTGTTGGTGCATAGTGGAATAGAATTATTCCCAGCACCGCTCTGAATGGCTTGATTAAGCTTGGGTATACAGTTTACTTTAATTGCTATCGACGTATCTTCTCTTTTCCCACTAGAAGTCTCTAGTTGCATACTCTGGTAGTTACTTCCCGGTAATTGCCAGAGTAATCGGTGCGATTTGATTTGAGTCTTCTTACAAACTCCTTCTGATGACGGGTAGACCCAGAAACGCGTGTCAGGGAGTGGTAAGAGACTCAAATTAATATATTTTAATTTTTTATTAATATTCCAGACCTATTATAATAAACAACAAAATAATAATCAACGTTACTTTCTAATATGTTAATCTTTCTTAAATAAATGAACATTATCATTCAAATCTTTTCGACATATTTGACGAATCCTGTCCCAATGTGGAGCTTTTCAAACTAATAGTAAAATTATCCCCGATTAAGGCCCCGAGGCAGGTGTCTTTTTAGTTATTTTACCGCTAATAGTTTTATTTTAAATCAATATATTGATCCGTAAATAAAAGCGCTCATATAGGGCGGTAAAACTTGTGTCTACGCACGTCAACAAGTCGCCTCCAAAAATCAATCAATAAATGATAATATGTTACCCCCCTACTACATTTACCCCAATAAATCTTACAATCAAACACGATAGAAGTCGTGACCAACACATTCTTTTACGATTTTCTTAAGCGTTTATATTTAATGATTGTTTTTTTCTTTCAGATGATGTCATCATGAAAACAATTAGCTACCACCAGAAACAATTATACATTTTATGTATAATATTGGCAGTGGTGTTGTTTAGTCTATGTATACAGATGGACATTGTTAGATACAATACATATTATCCAGAATATGGAGAATACAAAAAAATTATAAGCGATATTGAAATGAAGCTAGTAGAAGAATGGAAGGAACTGCGAAGCAAGCAAGTATGGCAGTGTTTTACATATCTCAATAAATATCAACCATTTTAATATCTGTTTTTGTAATTTTTTTTTAATTTGGTGTACTTTTCACAAAATTTTCTTTGTAAAAGAATTTCAGTTGGGAAATTTTATTAGCATATATATAGCATAGAATATTAAATAGCACTTAATTGTTACTTTCAATATATTGTTTACAAGTACATCCATTATAGTATACATATATACTTTGTAATATTAAAAATGCAGAGCTCAGTAAAACATAAGAAAATTTTAGCTAATAAGCCGATACATCGGGCTATCGAAGGACCCGACAAAATTCTTGAACGTAACAAGATATTTTGATTGAACGTCCCATTTATTCGAAATTTCATATCATTATCAAAACTAAAATGATCACCATCATTGACACTGTAACCCGGGACCGTGACTAATCCAGATATCTGAAATGTTTTTTTGTTATTATAGGCTTATACAATAAACGGCTAAATTATGGAATATTATCATTATTTCGAGAACCGTCGAGTTTTGAGGGAAATCCAGAAACAGGTCGATTTTTGCTATAAAATACCCATCTTATAACGTACATTTTTTATTATTTACGTACATTCATTTTTTTTTTTAAATAGAAATCGATATAATGCGACACCTCATTTAAACGAGAATTTAATTCTCTATTTATCGACATTACATTTTTAACTAAAATATTTTTTTAAGGGTACAAAAACAATTGTTTTTAATTTAAATTCAACTAAATTACAACTAATGATTTAATTAATAATGTACAAAGTAACCAAATTATGCATAATTATTTTAAATTAAATGTTCGAAATGACATCCATCGGTTTCTTTACAATATGCGAATCTACGGCCACATTCATGATGTACATTGCGGATGACTTCTGGACTAATTAGACTCATTTGATGCCTAATTCTATCTTTCAAGTCCTGTAAGTTTTGGGGTCTATTGACATAAACTTTTGATTTTATGAAACCCACAGGAAAAAGACTAGAGGTGTTAGATCTGGCGACCTTGCTGGCCACTCAACCTCGTCTCATTACATGCGTAATGCGAAGGGGCTCCATCTTGTTGAAAGCAGATATTTTCACTAGGTCAATTTGGATTATTGGCATTTGGATATATGTTAGCAAAAACAAGTATACGTTGATTTCTCAAAAAAGTTAAATAACGTTCTCCTGTTAGATTTTCTTCAAAGAAAAAAGGGTCAATGATTCTGTCATTAATGATCCCTGCGCATACATTTACTTTCTGAGGATACTCCTTGTGTGACTTAGTCATCAAATGTGGGTTTTCTTGATTCCGATATCTGCAATTTTGACGATTCACGGTACCATGTATAAAAAATGTGGCTTCATCGGAAAAAAGGATTTGAATAATAAAATGTGGATTGCAGATACATAAATCCTGCTTAATTTCAGAAAATTGAAGCCTGCGATCGGGATCGTCGTCGTTTAATTCCTGATGTAGTTGAATTTTGTAGGGATGGTATTTTTTTTTTAAATACGTAATACCGATCGTTGGGAAACTTCAGCATATTCACCCATTTGTATTGAACTATTGTGAGGATTGTCATGTACATTTAATAAAATATCAAGTTTCACATTGTCTTCAATTTTAGGACGTCTAGCGTTTGGAATATGTTTAAATATATATATATAATATATAATATATATATATATATATATATATATATATATGTTCGGCAGCTTTTTTTAATTATTAACAATTTAGTGTAAAAAAATTTTTCGATTTTTTGCTTACCATTGAAAAGCTTAATATTTAAGGTAAAATTACAAAACTTTATCTTTTAAAACATATAAATGCTGTAAAATGGCGATTTCTAAAAGTTCTATTATACTATTCTAAAAAATCAACCTAGGCATTTGTTATTCTGTTCAAAGTTGGGTTGTTGTCCTTAACAAACTCTCAAAATTTCAGATCGATCCATTACTTAGTTTAAAAGTTATTCTATTTGTTTATCTCAGAGACCTTTTTTTGCAGTAACATTAGTCCGAAAATAATAAACTTATTCTATGCATAACAAATGAAAGTTTAAAAGTAAAACTATTACGAGGATAGATTGATATTAAACTAGCCTATGATAGATGGCGCTACTTGATACCGAATTGGTTTCGGTGTTGACATTTGCCATTCATGACATGACGTCTGTCAAAATTTTAAATTTTAAAAATAATTAGTTTGGTTTTTACAGCGGACAAAAGCAAGCAAGGGTAAAATAACTGTGCAAATCAAAGCCGACCTGGACGAAGTTTATGGTAAGGTTGCCCCTTCGTTAGTAACAGTAAAATTTTGGAAAGCTGAATTTTTTTCGTTGTGGTACGAGTGTTTTTGATGATGAACGTCCCGGGAGGCCAAATGAAGTCACCACGCCGGAAATGATCAACAAAGTCCATGACATAATTATGGCAGATCGTCGAATTTAGCTCCGCGAGTTACTAGAGCTCCGAAACATTTCCTACGACGCGTGGACAACATCATTCGCAATCATTGGGATATGAAAAAGCTACCCGCGCGATGGGTGCCGCGTTTGCTGACAATCGATCAAATGCAAAAACATATGACCTTTTCGGAGACGCTTTTGGCGATGATACGGCGTGATCCGAAGGATTTTTTTCGCTGATTTATCACCGTTGGTGAAACCTGGGTGCATTATTACACACCAGAAACCAAAGAATAGTCAAAACAGTAGCACAAATGCGGCGAAGGGCCGCCCAAGGAGGCAAAGAGTGCACCTTCGGTCAGCAAAGTGATGGCGACTGTTTTCTGGGATGCGAAGGGCATCATCCACATCGACTACTTGGAAAAAGGAAAAACAATCAATGGTGAGTACTACGCAGCATTATTGGATCGATTGGATGCCGAATTACGTCGAAAATGCCCCGGTTTGAAACGCAAAAAGTGCTCTTTCACCAAGACAATTCACAAGCTCACCGATCGGCCGTCGTTATGGCAAAAGTACATGAATTGGGTCATGAATTGGTTGAACATCCACCGTATTCCCCAGATCTAGTCGTCAGCGATTTTTTCCTGTTTTCAAACCTAAAAAATAGCTCGGAGGACGCCGTTTCGTAACAAATGATGACGTCATCGCTGAAACTTCGGCCTATTTTGAAGAGCTCGAGCAAAAGTACTATTCGGATGAGATAAAAAAATTGGAATATCGTCTTACTAAGTGTATCGAGCTAAAAGGGACTATGTTGATAAATAAATCGATTTAATTCCAAAAAACTTGTTTTTTCTATCAAACGCTAGTTTTATATCAATCAACCCTCGTAATATACATAAAAATAATTAAAAAAACAATAATAATTTGTCACAACGCAAAACCATTTTGTAAAATTAAGGTTATTTTTGATTTATAAACATTTAGAATAACTTTTATACTATTGATTGTAGATAAAAATTTTTTTCATATTCGAAAAGCTGACATTTTTACACGAATTTAAAACAAAAGTTGTTCTACGAAAATTTGGGGCAAAAATAGTTTTGCTTTTAAATACACCGCTCATTTGTTTACAACAAGTAAGGGACGAAATTTTCGGCATTTGAAAGAAAAGGATTCGTAGTTTTTGTACAAAAAGTGGTACAAACACTATAAGAGGATCCTCTGTGAATTGTCAAAAATATGGTTCAAATTAAGACTAATAGTAGCGAGTGAAGAACCCACAAATCTACGCGTTTAAAAAATGAAAATGTATCTTGAAACTACTACAATTGTTGATATATTCGGATCTACTCAACGGATTTTAATCTCAAACAGTTTATTGAAGCCATGTACTCACTACACCAAAGGACTCTTAGAGCTTTTGAAAACAACTCATGGAGTAATCATTGGTTTTCTCACTAGACGCTGCTCACTCAGATATCATCTCTGTTCAATGAGCAAATAAACGAGGCAATATGTAGATTCTGAGATAATCCAGAGAAAACAAATTGTCTGAAACTGCAGGGTGATTGTTTGTCAGTGCCATAAGTACCTACAACAGGTTTTTAAAACTTACTCAGAACTCAGATTACAAACGTAGCTTCGAAACGGTTAATCTGCTTTATAAAAAATCTAGACCTTTGGGACTATAACCGTTACTTAAATATCCGAATATTCAATCAACGCTTATAACATAGAACAAAAGATGTAGGGTCGCAATATAATTCTTTTAAATCTACAACCTACCAGATGAAGGTAAATGTATTGATTAATCAGCAACTTACCAAAAGTTTTACTAGATAAAAAGCTATGGCAGCTAATCTGGAAAGCTCAACATAGATGGCGCTAGTGTAGTTGGAGGTCACGTCAACTGTCCAAATCTATATATTTTTAAGTAAATATTGCATTTATTTCGATGTGTAGATTTAATTTGGGATAATAAGATGCCTCAGTGTTGTGCTGTTCCTTTGTGCTCATCGAGAATATCAGAATACAGGCACACAGGCTTATCAAAGATAATCTGATGAGAAAAAAGTGGATTGTGCCAATAAGAAGAGATAAATATGTGCGACAGAAATGCATTTACTCATATCTACAATAAACTAAGTACTTGGGTACCAAACTTGAGTACTTGGGACATGTGATAAGAGGGCAAAAATACGCATTATTACAACTTATTAAACAGGGCAAAATGCGAGGAAAGGGAAATGTGGGAAGACGAAGAATATCCTGGCTTAAGAACTTAAGGGAAACGGTTTGAATGCAGTAGTGCAGAACTTTTAAGAGCTGCAGTCAACAGAGTCCGCATAGCCATGATGATTTCCAACCTTCGATAGAAGATGAAACTTAAAGAAGAAGAAGAACAATAAACTAAATATTATATATAAAGGATAATAGTTGTATGCTTTATGTTAGCAAATTTTCGGAGCAACATAATAGATAAAAATCATTTTTTCTACCTATAGAAATACGTCTCATATCTTTTTTTGTCTACGTGAAAAAATCACAGAACTCACGACCAGTGACAAACATTTGAGTTTGCACTTGATTATAATAATTTGAATTTAATTTCAAACTTAATTCATCTTTTAATTTAATTAATGGGGGTAGTTAACTTCTAACACAGTTAGTTATTCCACAAGTCCATCAGGAAAAGCAGCTAAATAAGGATGGTTCAATGAAATAAAAAGTCCACAGCTAATGAAATGGTTAACAGTTGTCTCCTCATAGGCACAGATAGCTATTTTCTCACATTTTTTACTCCAATGTGTTACACCGATTACACTATCAGTACAATTAGGCATATTTCTGTAGTATTGTGGTCTTGGATTATAACAGAAGTTTGTCTTTTGCTTTTTTTGCACATTGCACACAGGAACTATAAAATTTATTTGTTCGGATTTCTTTGGCGATACTTTCAGTCTGCTATTTTTTTGGCATATGCCAAATTTGCTTTCATTTAGTGCAGATATCTTTTATGTATCATTTACCACGATCTTTCAGGTTTAGTAAAGCATCGCAACAGCAACATGTTTTCACACTGCTCTGTATCTCTTGCCAACAATACATTAACATAATGCTTCAGTAATACTTTCATCCATGGAGAGGACCAGTTTTATATTGTATGTAAGTGCATTGGCCATTTCACTGTTGACTTGCGCTCGGTAAAAATGATATTCATCTGTTTTGATTGACCAATAGCTAACAAAAAATAGTTATTTATGTCGACGAAATCTATTAGAGGAATTTCTGAAGAATAGTGAAATCCACATTAGTGACCATATAATGTCATGTCGAAAACTATTATTTCGATCATGATCATATACAGCCCAAGCTATAATATAATACAGAATATCTAATCAGTTTCTGGACAGGCAAAGCAATGAACTTCTGGCAGCGACACAATATCTTTCGTACATATATCAAAAGTGATGATTTATAATGCGTTTTGTTTTAAGGCAGCACAAAACTGTATTCAATGTATGGTAGATAGCTAAAATTACCATATTTTAGTTACAAGACAATATTAGTTAAAATCCAAATACAAATACATCACTATAATACTCAAACCAATATAAAAATTTCTATTATGGTCTGAGATGAACAAATGAAACATTAAGACGATGATTTATATATAGTCCTTTTCCATCATATTGATAGCACATTATGTATGCAAATCCTCAACGGGTCAAAAAACCATAGGCGTCACCCTATACTTGTTTTGAAATAAACAAAAAAAAAAATATTTTAAGATGCCGTCAACAATTCATTATCTTTTAAAAAATCTTCTGTAAAATAAGTGTCCACTAATCTCACTATACCTTTTTTGTGCGTAAAAAACGTCGGTATATATGCCACACGATTATTGTCAATTGTACACGGCGGATTAACGAGAGAATTCAATGTTTCACGAAATAAATTAATGTAAACAGTAATTTAAAGGTGATTATTGTTTTCTACACAAGTTATCACCTGACACAAAAAGAATACCTTCTTTAAACGATTACCTGGAATTACTGATAAGGCTTCACTAATGATAGTTTAATTAGTTTTTATGCCACATTACAGCTTATGCCAATAATATAAATTAGAAATTGTTTGCATCTTCCATTTAGTTTTAGTACATTGTTCATTGTTATTATTTGTAATGTACACGATGCATTTGTACATCAACGCCCTTTAAGTAATGTTCGTGAAATCGTTAACATGTGTTCAAATATAACAGGGGTTGGAGAAGCAACAATTTATAGATTCCTAAAAGAAAGAAAAGGAGGAACTGTTTCATCTCCTAAGAAGAGTGGAGGGAGTAAACCATTGGAAATTAAAGAAATACATAAAAACATGATAAGATGCAGCGTCCACTCATTTTTTTTTTTTTAACAAAGAATTTCCAACATTGCACAAAATCCAAACATTAATTAGAGAAAACGAAGACTTACCAATTATAAGCAACAATAAATTATGGGGACTATTGAGAGAGATGGGATTTCGTTGGCAAAAGAATAGAAGAAAATCCGTTTTAATTGAAAAAGATTACATTGTACGTTGGAAACGAGATTATCTAAGAACTATTAAAAAGTACAGAGAAGAAGGAAAAACAATTTTTTATTTGGACGAGACTTGGCTAAATGAAGGTCATACTGTACCATATCTATGGGTTGATACAAATGTGAAAAGTTCCCGTCAGGCATTCATCGAAGGTGTATCTACTGGAATAAACAATATTCCCGTTGGAAAAGGATGCAGACTGATAATAACCCATATTGAAAACGAATACGGTTTTGTCAATGGTGGATTATTAAGTTTTGCCTCAAAATAAACCAAAGATTACCACGAGGAAATGACTGCTGACGTTTTTGAAGAATATTTTGAGCAAATTGTTGGATTTAATTCCAAAAAATTCTGTCATAGTCATGGATAATGCTAGTTACCATTCAAGACTAGCAAAAAAATTGCCAACAATGGCATGGAAATAAGGAGAGATAATCGAATGGTTGGATAAACACGCAATTGAGTACAAGGAGAATTCGACAAAAAAGGAATTATTACCTATTGTAAGGCAACATAAAGCAGCTTATAAAAAATATATAATTAATGAAATGGCATTAAACCGTGATATAATTATTTTACGTTTACGTTTACGATACCACTGTGATCTGAATCCGATAGAAAATATATGGTCTCAAGTAAAGGGTGAAGTCGGACGCAACAACAAAACTTTTAAATTAGAAGACTTACAACAATTATTAGAACATTAATTATCAAAAGTAACTCCAGAAAATTGGAAAAATGCTGTTAGTCATGCTCACAAGGAAGAAAATAAAATGTGGAATTTGGATAATATAACTGATGCAATGCTGGAACCGGTAATAATTAACATTGGAGTTAAAGATTACTTAGATTCTGAAGAAAGCAGTGAATCTGAAATGGAATTTGATTAAAATAATATTCATTTGTTTACAAATCGGCCCCTGTAACGGCCACAAATTATTTTATATATAACCAATAAAATAAACATGTTAAATTTCTTGCAAATTCATTCGTACCTGTTAATCTCCATCACTCCAACACTGGCAACTTTATTTAGGGATTAGTAACCCTCAAAACTATTGTATTCTATTCTGCTTCAACCTTTATACCTGGTGGTCATACTCAATTTAAGATTGTTTTCCTATATACTTCTGTAAACTTGTTGACGAATATCTGTTTTTCATTGAGTCACCCGTATCAACAGTTTAGGATTTGCATACATAATGTGCTATCAATATGATGGAAATGGACTATAGTTTACTTTTCGATAATGTCTTCATTTTTTCCAGTAATTCTCGCATTTCTTCTTAATTCTTTTATTAAGTCGCAAATATACTAAGATCCGTATTTTTCTGTCATAATTTATTACATCGCAATAATTACAACAAAAATACCATTCAAACCAAAGAATTGTCAAAATGTGTTGACTCCAACTACACTAGCGCCGCCAAGCGGAAGCAACGGCGTACATAGCTGCCATTGATATCAAATGTTTAACAATAAAGGTGCAACACCCATTTTCATATATTTGCGCAAATTTTCATACACTTTTAAATAAGAAACGTAAAGAATATGCAAAACCGTTTATTTTATTTTTACTTTTTGCTTTTGTTTTAGACTAACCTATCAAACTTAGGGAAAATACTGTTCTTAGGAACAGACGAACCAGTAGTGAATACAACGAAATCCTACCAAATTCTAGTCTGGAAATACGGTCCCACGATCGAAAGACGTCTAATAAAGAATTTCTCCAAAAATTGGTAAATAAATAAAATATATTTGTATTACTTGCTGGTCCTAGTTTTAACACAGAGTGAGTCATAAGGAACTGCAGATATTGCTACGTACTATGGAGACCGAATGGATGAGAATAGACTCCCAAAAATTGCCCTAGAAAACAATCCGCCCGGTTCAAGACCCCCGGAAGACCACCTAAAAGATGGAGGGATAGTTGGCAATCTACCTCCCAAGAAATTAACCAGAGGCAGCTTCAGAATTAAACAGATCGAAAGATCTACAAAAAGTAGAAGAAGAAGAAGAAGACTATGGAGACCCCTATGGGTAATAACAAATGAGCGTTAAAAAGTATCTGGTCCCATTGTTTCATATACAGAGCAAGTTAAAATTTTGCTTGTGGCACTGTAAGGCAAACAAGAAAGTATTTATCGAAACTATATATTAGGTGTTGATAAAGTGCTTTCCTAAAATCAGTCAAATTCGGTTAGTTCTGTGGAAATATCTGTCTATAAGTGGAAACAGATGTGTAAAATGTGTTAGTGTTGTCAGCTATCTACATAATTTTCAAAAAAAACTGTTTGAGAATAAGCAAAACCGGAAATAGAGATCAAGTAAACATGTCCTCAGGCAATAGCTGATTATAACAAATACATGGGTGGAGTAGATCTATTCGATCAATATCATGCTACCTACTTCATCGAATGGCAATCAAGACGTTGGTGGGTAAAGTAAAGAATATAGCGAGAATGAAATCAAGAAGTTTGTGTACCTACTTAGAATGGTTGACAAAACCGAAAAAAAAAAACATTTATCAGCAATCATTACATCGTTGAATGCGGTGGGCATGATAGTATACACATTCATGTGTATAGATGAATTGTTATCGTTTTTGAATAATCTTTTCGGAAGAGAATAAAATACAGAAACGAACAAAAGTGCACAGTTTGAGTTTTCCCATAACATATTACCTCGATAAAATGCATGCGTTTTGGATCTGGTATAGTATTACACTCAAGAAATTTTCGACTTTTTTTCGTCCCAAAAATTCAATTTAATGTGAATTCTTAAAAGAATCACGTATGTTAAAAAATTTACATTTTTTAAATCATCATGAAAGGTTCATTTTGCCAAAATTTTTAATTCATAGTCAAATTTTTTTAATAAAAAATTAGGTAATCTAGTCTAATTTGTAAAATATAAAATAGAGTTTTCAAAAACCGTACACAAGGTAAAACATAAACCAATTTTTTAAATCTGGATCTGATGTTTTCCTAATTTCAATAAATCAGTTTATTAGGCGGTAGTAGTGTAACATTTGACCAAAACATGAGACTCATCCAACTTACCGTTCAAAAGTTATGACGGATAGAAATTTCAGTCAAAATTCACAACTCCCCCTGTATAATATTAAACAATGCGAGTAGACACTTTTTAATGGTCATTTGTTATTTCCCATAGGGGCCTCCACACGAAATAGGAGGTATGTACAGTTTCTATGACTCACCCTGTATACAAACATAATCCCGATCACATTGATTTTATCTGCTAAGCAATTAATAAAAAATATGAATATGTTGCGAAAGGAATAGATTAGAATTACATTCAGTTTTGATCTAGATATTAGTTATATTTAAGAAAATGAGCTATTTGGTAATTAATCAATGTTGTCTAGGCAGCAATGAACTATAAATCGACCGATAGTTGAATTTAACAATATGGCCAGTACGCAGAATAATTCGTCGCCTCCGGTTACAGTTTTGACGTCAAAATTTTGCAGTGGTCGTTACGAACGGAAGAAAATTCTTTCAGTTCAAACATATCGTCTTGTGCCTCACAAATCAGCTGTTAATTCAGTTGCAACAGGTTGTCAGTTCTGGTCTGCACACAATCCAACGCAGTCTACAGCAAAACTGTCTTCTGGCTTACCGTTCATAGTTAGCATCATGCCTGACAGTAGAAGGACAGCATACTCGTCGTAATTAGGTTAGATTACACTCATCATCTTCTTCTTTTACGGCACTACAGCCCAAATTCAGCCTTGGTCTCCTTTATTTTTTGCCTCCACCCTTGCTTGTCTATGGCTGATCTTCTCCATACATAGACTCCTAAAAGGGCTCGTGCGTCGCTGTTTACTGTGTCCCAGGGCTTTCTTGGCTTTCCAATCGATCTCTTTCCCTGCATTCTAGCATTCAGTGCTCTTTTTGTTAGCCTATCCTCTCCCATTCTTATCACATTGCTGGCCTGGCCCATTGCAATCTTTGTATTCTAATGAAGTCTGACAGTGGTGCTTCCTTCCTTAAGTTGATAAAGCTCGTTGTTGTATCGACTTCTCATAATGCCGTTTTCTTCACAGGTCCTAATATTCTTCTCAGTCCTTTGGAATGTGTCGAGTTTGCTTTTGAATGTTATTTTCAGGACCCATGCTTCACTGCCATAGCATGCTACTGGTCGAATTAAGATTTTATAAGCAAAATAAGCTTTGTTTGTCTGCGATATTCTCTTCCGCATTTCTCCATCTTCTGATCCGTCCGTATATATTTCTGCTCCCAGGTATGTAAACTTTCTAACCGTTTCAATGTTAAAAAATAATGATTTTTGTTTTTTCCGTGTTAATTACCAGACCTACCCTTTTTGTTTGCGTTTTTAACTCTGTGTATGTTTCCTGTGCTCCTGTTGATGTTCTACTCATAATATTAATATCATCGGCATAAGCTGCCAGTTGAACCATTACGATTGTGAGTAGGTTTCCTCGTCCAGTTTGCATTTGCCTAACCGCATACTCCAGTGCCAGATTAAACAAAGTTTAAAGAGGCTGTTAAATTTGGAGGAGAAAAATTAAACTCATGTCTATAGGGTCAATCGACCAATGGTGGAACACCACCTAATAAATGAACAGCCTGTTAAATTTCTTTAAAAATAAGAATATGCGATTTAGAAGCTCTTTCGTCAATTTTTAACATGTTGCGTGCGGATATTCTTAATACAGTTCATTTACTAGCTGATTTACGAATTAGTTAAGTAGTATACCATCGCAATAAGCAAAGTTACCCCCCCCCCTCTACGATGCAGTTTATGGATGTTCCCTTATATCCTTTACTGCTTGCTCTCATTTCGATGTATATTTAAGAACTGCAGATATATTAAACTTTACATTATAATTTTAGGTCGGATCCATTCAGTAACTGCCCTGTGAAAAACTGTGATATAACTTATAAGGATGAAGCACTCTCAACAGCAGACCTTGTACTATTTCACTTGCACAGAATGAAAAGTTCGAAGGAACTACCATCGAAAAGAGGAAAACCTGGCCAGATATGGGCTTTTATAACCGAGGAGAGTGCCCATAACACGTTTCTGTCACCGAATAAAGGTGTTACTATAAAAGACTATAATGGTGTTTTTAATTGGTCTATGTCTTATAGGTAAGTTATTCTTGGGTATCTAGATACGTAATATTTTCTTGGGTACTTTCAAATCAATATGTTCGAAACGAGAGCTGTAACATCATCAGAAGTGTCAGACCTGACATACAGATGACACCACTAACTTCAAATAATTTAGAAAGTTCCTTTGTCACTAAATGATGCCATAAACAACTCAAATCTGTCATCTGTCAACATTTGAGCACTTAGACAATTGGTATACACGTTAGAGTTGTTGTACAATTTTTTACACCGCTTTTCATTAGTCAAAATTTTTAAATATCTTAATTTTGTGTGATGATACAGCAAACACACAAAACAGTAAACTAATGGATTAGTAATCATTATCTGGCAGAAACAACAGATAAACCACTAATGAAAAAGGAGAAATGGGTCAGTCATGAAGATAATGCATTAAGGCAAGTCACAAGTCGTTCGCAACCATGAACAATTATGAATTGCACTTCGAATTGCTCCCTCACTCTCCATATTTTTCAGATCTGACCCTTAGCGATATTATTTGTAACAAACTATGGTATTACCTACAAGGCCTTATTAGAAATAAAAATCTTATATAATAAAAATATTAAAAATAAACAATCCTCCTGCATGTAAGTTATAAAATATCCTCAAATAACTTTGGCGTAATACCAAAATTGGAATATATAGAAAGTTAGAAAATATCATCAAACATGTTATATGTTTTGGCTTAAAATGGTGTGAGTGGCGAACTTTAAAAAATCGTATCTTGACTTCTGCCGAACGTCATTTTAAAGAGGAAGGAAATAAGTTTCTTTTCTGTGAAGCAATGCCTATACATATACCCCCGTGGAAAAAAATTATGAGGCAATAAAGAAAAATCGCGTTTTTCCGTGTTTTTTCACTCCGTTTTTGAATATATTTTTGACATTTCGATAGACAATTTAATGTTGAACAACTTCTCTGTAAATGTATATGTACGAAAAGTCCATAGAATTCGCCCAAAAGCATCCTAATACATAGGGACTAATTCACACCTTTCTCAAAAAACGCATCCCCTTAAATGGTAGCACATATGAAACAATAAAACCCCATTAACGTTGAAGTTACTTTCAGCGTTCTTTTTTGGGAAATATTCAACAGCCTCTTATACAAGTTAGATTATGCCAGCGGGTGAAGCGAGATTTGGGAGGTAAGTGAGGTTTGGTAAAGTTTGGCTAGGTTGGTCTAGGTCAAGGTAGATTTGTTTCGTTATATGGGATTCGGTTAGTTTGGATTAGGATCCCATACATTATATTATGCGAAAGAGAGAAGCGACCAAGATTAGTTGACTAGGTGTTTGCTAAGGTTTAAATAATCTAAATTTTAGAGTAGGTTAATATAGTATAGCTTTATTTTGTTAAATATTATAAACTTCAGGTAGATGTAGAGATTGAAAGGACCAATTATTAAAATATAGCAGCTTCGTGTTGAGTCAGAAGGCAATATTTTCTAGAAATATATTCCACAATTAAAAAGGGTACCATATTTCCTATAATATGATTAAAACAAAAGCTATCTCGTAACCACCATTAAGTCTCTGATCGCTTCCCAAAAGAACAAAAAGAAGAATTGGATGACTGACGAACTATTATCAATGATAGACCGCAAACTATTTAAAAACAAAGACTAAACCAAACATCAACAGATTAAACAAATTTTTGTTTAAAATCCTTTATAAAAGGTATATAAAAATGCCCCAAACGGGCTATCACAAACACATTGCAAAACGTTTTCGGATTAAACAATCCATCATCAGTGCAAACGGTTGTACATGCTAGTAGCCACCAAAATATATGAGTAAAAACCCTTTAAATGTTTTGAATTTGAAGTTGTTTTACATTATTAGTATTTATAATTTGTGATGGTTAAGTTACCGTTGGATAGGTAACATGGCGGCGTATGACTCTACATGAGTAAAATGGTCCTGAGACGAAGTGTCTACGAGGACCTGTTGATAACAACAGGTCCTCGTAGTTGTTGTTAATCGCAACGCAACGAGTTGTTATCAACAGGTCCTCGTAGACACTTCGTCTCAGGAGCATTTTACTCATGTAGAGTCATACGCCGCCATGTTACCTATCCAACGGTAACTTAACCATCACAAATTATAAATACTAATAATGTAAAACAACTTCAAATTCAAAACATTTAAATGGTTTTTACCCATATATTTTGGTGGCTACTAGCATGTACAACCGTTTGCACTGATGATGGATTGTTTAATCCGAAAACGTTTTGCAATGTGTTTGTGATAGCCCGTTTGGGGCATTTTTATATACCTTTTATAAAGGATTTTAAACAAAATTTTTTTGTGATGTATGGTATACAGCCAGCTACAGGAACTTAGTTTCCTTGTGGAATCAACAGATTAACCGACAAATACGAAAAGAGTGTCGCAAAGCTAAAGAACAGCGGCTGCTAGACAGGTGTGCAGAAATGGAGGAATTGGAAGAAAAACTTGACCACTTTAACATACATAAACTAGTTAAAGAAGTGACAGGTCATACAAAACCTTGCAGTTTTAACAGTATTGTGAAGGCCAATAAATTAATTACTGATCCCAAGGATCTACTTCAACAATGGAGAAACTACACACACCAACTATTCTCAGACAACACTAGACGAAACTTTGAAAGTGAATATAAAAGTGAACCCTCCCCAAAATATTGAAGTCAGAAGTTGTAAGGGCAATCAAACAGAGCAAATGGGGAAAAGCACCAGGCCAAGACGACATATACGTAGAGGTTCTAACAATGTTGAGTAAAGACAATATAGACGCCTTGGTAGATCTTTTTAATGACATTTATGGGTCCGGTCAAATAGAACAGGACTGGCTTCAATCAACCTTTATACCAATCCCAAAAAGTCAAACGCTAATAGTTGCGATAAATTCCGAATGATGAGCTTATTGAGCCACGTCCTAAAACTCTTCTTAAAGATAATTCACACAAGAATATACAACAGATGTAAAAGAGCTCAATGGCTTAACTGATTAAGTAGAGAATTAGTAAGATTGCTCCAGGAACGTTTGATATATGAGAATGACCTTAAAATCATAAAGAACCTTTATATATTTGTGAGAGTAGGACTGAAATCTACATCATATTTCTCAATCGACAGGGTTGTGTTCTATCACCCCTCCTTCTTAATCTTTACTCTGAAATGATTTTCGAGAGAGCCTTAAGTGACAATGAAGATGGAATCAAAATCAACGGACAGACTATCAGTAATCTTCAGATTAATATATTCAAGACGAAGGTAACAGTGGTTGGTAAAACACGAAATATGCAATTAAATATAAGAGTAAATAATAAGAACATCCAAAAGGTCCCCAAGTTCAGATATCTCGGTAGTTGAATAACTGAAGATCTAGATCCAGACAGAGAGATACGTAGAGAGAACCTTGCTAAGCACCAGCAGCCTTAACTTAACGCTTCGATATTGCTTTGTAAAATGTTATATTTACTCCATACTGCTATATGGTGTAGAAACCTGCACCATAAAGACCAATGTGATGAACCGATTGGAGGCATTTGAAATGTAGGTATTTAGAAGACTGCTTAAAATTTCCTGTACAGATCACACAACAAATGTCGAAGTATTAAATCGAATGGGCAGAGTACGAGAATTGCTGCCAATAATAAAAAGAAGAAAAACTGCTTATCTGGGTCATATATTTCAAAATTTCAAGTACCAGTTCTTAAAGCTTATTATGGAAGGGAAGATAAAAGGAAAACGGGGCATCGGAAGAAAGAAATACTCATGGCTTAAAAAAATAAGGGATTGGACAAACCTCGATGCACATGCACTCTTTAGAGCCACACAAGATCGAGAGGAATGTCAGAATTGTCTCCAACATCCACTAATTGGATAGGGCATCTTAAGAAGAAGAAGATTAACCATTATTAATTTCTTTCTAATTTTTTACTAACCATTGCAACACTGTGTAAGAATAATTTCGTCTGTTCATTCCACAGGTCATTCAAGAACATATATAATAGTCGTCATAAGTTTCTATTTTGATATTCTTCTTCAATTTAACAGTAAAACTAATCGATATTTGTAAAATAGTTTCGAAACACAATTCAGATTTCTGCTTATAATCTGAGCCTTCTAAAAATTGCAAGGCAAACAGACGTTGATAAAAGATGTTAAAAGGGACATGGGGAATCTAAAATTTACATTCCACAACATGTCTTTTACAACTAAGCAGAAATCCTTAGCGAATTGTGCTTCTAGTACTCACACAGAGTAAATCCGAAATAAAATGAAAAAGACAGCAAATATTTGATTTCACGGAAACAAATCCTATGTATCTGTTGATACGTATTTCGACCTAATAGGTCCATCAGAACAACTATTCTCATGAGTTCTCATGAGAGAACAATAGCTGTTCTAATGAGACCTATTAGGTCGAAATACGTATCAACAGATACATAGGATTTGTTTGCGTGAAATCAAATATTTGCTGTCTTTTTCATTTTATTTCGGATTTACTCTGTGTGAGTACTAGAAGCACAATTCGCTAAGGATTTCTGCTTAGTTGTAAAAGACATGTCATGGAATGCAAATTTTAGATTCCCCATGTCCCTTTTAACATCTTTTATCAACGTCTGTTTGCCTTGCAATTTTTAGAAGGCTCAGATTATAAGCAGAAATCTGAATAGTGTTTCGAAACTATTTTACGGATTTTGTAATTAGATGTCGCTATCGCGTCCGTATTGAAGTCATTTTATTGTTGCTTCTTAAAAGGCAGAAAATATTGATTTTTCACGTTGAGAACTCCTATGAATAGCTGTTCTGATGAGACCTATTAGGTCGAAATACGTATCACCAGATACATAGGATTTGTTTGCGTGAAATCAAATATTTGCTATATTTTTCATTTTAATCGATATTTATTTTTTTGCTTAGGTTTGTTATTATTAAAACAATTTCGTATCTTTCTCACTATCTTTCTTAAAAATTTTAGAAGATTTTATTTGAGAATTTTGCATTTCTTGGTTTTTTAAAATTTCTAGTTTTTTTCCGACAACAAATACACTCAAATTTTATGTTTGTTAGCTAAATCCGACAAAAATGTAGAATGTTTAAATGATGTCTATGGTTTCATAAGTAGTGAAAATTTTGAATACGATGTAGAACTCATTTGATAAGGTTTAAAGTATTAGTATTAAGTAGTATTAATTATCTGTAGCTTAAGAACCAATAATTATGATAAGCAAAATATTTGTTTGTGTTTCCTTAGAAATAAAAATTAAAGTAGGTCAAACTTTCTATTTGGTGTATTAACGAGCATAATTAAATAACCATAGTTATAAAGTTCTCTGATATTTGTAGTACCTGGATATTTTCAAAATGTTATAAAAAAATAGTGAAAACGCTGTAGTCACTTGTACACATTTCAGTTGTATTAATTTTACTTAAAAAGTGTTCATAAAGTTTTTTTTATGAATCAATTTTAAACGTTTATTTAATTTTAGAATGGATTCTGATATTCCCGTTCCTTATGGAAGGACCATTCTGAGGAAGACACCTCAACCTGTAGAAATAAAATTCGAAAAACAAAGGAATGTTTTGGTAGCGGTGATGGGATCAAATTGTGGAGGAAAGAATAAACGATGGGATTATGTAAAGCAATTAGAAAAACATATTAAAATTGACAAATACGGAAAATGTGGCACATTAAAGTAAGTTTATGAGATAATTTTACATAATAAAGGGAAGATTTTAACTAATGGTATCAAAAGATTAAATGATTTTTGCAAAATTAGTGCATACATTGTACATAATATGTACAATGTGTAGATATGTACAATTTATAATAATATTATTAGACCAGGGAGGGTCTGTTTTGAGGTGGATCTTATCTAATTTTAAATAAGATACAAAAGTGGTACAGGGTAAACGTATCAATTTTATATTGCCACTTATTAGTAAAACACTTGTGTCAAAATGTAAAAACTTATACCGATTTTACCCAATATAGACACTTACTCATAAAAGTTTATTATTTTTAGGTGTCCAGGTCATTTCACCAAAGATTGTCCAGCAATAGACAAATATTTGTTCTATTTATCCTTCGAAAACTCAAACTGCGATGAATATATCACAGAAAAGGTGTGGTGGAACGCTTTCCATAAAAATTCCATACCAATAGTCATGGGTGCAAGTGTGTCCAGCTACAAAAAAATTCTACCGCCGAATTCCTACATAAATGTCGATGACTTCGCGAATCCAGCTTCTCTAGCACGTTTCCTACTGCGCCTCAACGACACAAACGAATATCTAGAATATTACCAGTGGAAATCACATTTTGAAGTATTGAATGAACACGGATATTTCCAAAGCAATGTCTTCCACTACTGCCGAGTATGCCAGGCATTGAACTACAACGATAAGAAACAAAAAGTTTATGAAGACTTACAAAAAGACTGGAACGCCAAAAACGTCTGTTATCCTGCTTGGAACGCGTAATTTTTGTTATTTCCGATTCAAACACAATAATATCTAAAATATTATTAATGGAAATATTTTGAAGTATTGAATGACTATTGAGATTTCCAAAGCAGCAGATTCTACCACTGCCGAACAGGTCAGTTGTCGAATTACAACAAAAAGGCATAATAGAACGAAGACTTGGAAAAAGACTGGAATATCAAAAATGTCTTTTATTCACGCTAAAACTTTTTATTTTCCTGCCAACGTACTGCCTCGTTACCACTATCAATATTTTCCAGATTTAACTACAATGTGAAAAAAAAACATTCGGTAGAGGAAAGCCACCTAATTTCGGACAATTGCTCAATTTGGGATACTGCCCTATCTGTCGTGCCGTGCCATCAATATAACGTCACAATAATTATTCTACTTTTGTAGCTTAAGGCCAAATAATGCATGCTTCCATATTTATCTACGAATTAAAGTACATTTAGTCGTCGGGAGTTGCAACTATTTTATAACGGTCTAGTAAACTTTTCTAAACCATCGTATTTTATTTGTGTTTACAACGTTATTTTTCATCTTATCTTGTTTCAACTATACATAAAGAAAAGTCAAATAGTCTGCTTTTTGTTGGCATTAGATAATACAAATTAATTTATTTTAAAAATATATATATTATTTTGATCTAACCTGTAGAGCATTCGGATGCTCCCAAAATCAGATATGCGAAATTGAGAAACTTGGTAGAATAAAATTTTTACGATACTTTTTTATTGAAGGGGTAAAAAGCATAAATGTTGGTCTGTTGCAGCTATGTTAGAGGCTGTAGAGGCAGTAAGAAGGAATGAAATCAGTTATTTAAAAGCGTCCCGCATGTTTAAAGTTCCGAAATCAACATTAGGGGGCTATAAAAAAAGGCAGTTCAACAGCTTCCCCTGGCCGGAGACCTGTGTTTCCATTAATCTTTGAAAAACATTTCCTATTGTTTGGAGATGGATAAGCGGTATTATGGTTTGATAACATCGGACATCAGAGGGTTAGCTTATCAACTTGCATTGCAGAATGGTATTTTCCATCCATTTAAAATGACATTCGAAGTAAAGTTTACGCAAGCCTGAGGGCCTTTCCAAAGCAAGAATAAAGACCTTCATGGAAGAAAACGTAACACGTTTCTTTAACTTGCTTGAACATGCTCTGGAAATGATAAAATTTAATCCAGCCAACAGTGCAGACGAAACACCATCGCGTTATTTCCCTATAAGGTAAGAAGCAAGTTTGCGTCGTGACTGTTGCTAAGAGAAGTTTACTAGTCACTGTGGTGTCTTGTATGAGCACAATTGGTTGATTTGTTCCACCTTTGTTAGTGTTCCCCCCGAACAACATGAAAGCTGAGTTGTTAGATGGTGCTCCTACCGGATCTATAGCAGCATGTCATCCATCAGGCTGGATTCAACAACACATATTGACACAGTGGATTAATCATTTTATTTCGCATGTCAAACCGACCGAATGCTTGTTTTGAATGGACACTACAGCTATACAAGAAATTAGAATTGATTGAAATAGCTATGCCTAATCATCTGACGATTGTCTGCCTTGCTCCTCATAGTTGCCATAGGTTACAGCCTTTTGATTTAGCATTAATGTCTCCTTTTAAAACATATACTCTCATCAAACAAAATCATGGCTTAGAAATAATCTAAATCACAATATAACATCTGTATAAATATGTCGACTTATGTGTGGAGCGTATCTAAAATGCGCAAATGCTGAGATAGCGGTAAACAGGTTCCGAAAGTCGGGTATTTATCATCTAAATAGACAGTGTTTCTCGAATGCCGATTTCATTATAGAAAGGCAAAGACAGGGAAGTTCACCAACTCAAAGAAAGCCTAGAAATGAGAAAAATTTATGGAAAACATGGAAAAAAAACACCGGAAAAAATAGAGAAACTTCATGATTAAAAAAATTGCAAGAGAGGACCGCCTAAAGCAACAAATGGAGGAAATATAATCAAGATTGTAATACCTAACGAGATCAGTCCATTTCCATCATGTAGTGGAACAGGAAATGGAACATAGTTATGTGATCACCAGACAGCTACTGGGCAAAGCTACATTAGGAAATAACAAACCAGTCCAGCAGAAAGTTCGAGACTCAGATGTGTCGAGTGACTGAAGAGGATTCTATTATTTCAGATAACGACTCTGAGATGGATGATATTGACGATGACGCAGAATTAAAAATTTTCGGAGGATACCAAGGGAGAAGGGTGGATTAAGTGCCAATCTTGTTAACGATGGGCGCAAGAAGATTGTACCAATAGTTTTAATAGGAGACATATATATGCGATTTTTGTTTATAAACATAAGTGTTGATTTAATTTTCTTCATAATATAAATAAATGAAGTTTATGGTCCTAATGTTTGCATGTTTTGTTTCTACTTAAATTACTCTTTGAAATTAGACAACCAATTTAATTGTTTATATTGTTTTGATTTACCATGTATGAACTTGCTCCTTGAGTAATTACACTTGTTCAAGATATATAAGCAAAAACAAACAGCTATCCGAAATTAGGTTCCTTTCCTCTATATTCAAAAACACTGGATATAAAAATGTCTGTTATTTATCGGAATGTTTAGCTTTATATATTCCTGCCAAAACATTTAACAATCTTGCATAATTTACATTTTTTCTATAGAACATTGAGCATTTTCTCCTCATCATTTCTGAATATAAAAGAATGAAAAATTAAGAAGTTGTTCTTGCAAATTGGTAATATTGGTAACACTAAAAGAAACTAGTAAAAATATGAACTATTACGTAACATATTAAACTTATTGTGACATTTGTTAGTCAGATTCATTATTACCTATGTCCCCATATTACAAATAGAAATGTAATTTAATATACAACACTGCAAATAAACATTTCACAGTATATTAGTTGTATAATGATTTTGTTTGCCTATTTTTTGTAAACTATTTTTTGATTGGATGTCATATTGGAGTCCGTCACAAATTGCTTTTAATGTTCAATACTGTGTCAAATTTGTGTTAACAGTATATAATAAACTATGTATTTCCCACTACTAAATGATCAACCATTCATGTGATAACCATGACAAAATCAAACCGCAAAGTAAAACAACATTTTGATGCATAGAAGAGGCTCAAAATAAGCTGAAGATAGATATACCAGTATCTTCTATCTGCATCTGTAAAGGCAGAAAGTGGATTGGAATCAAAACTTTTCAAATGTTTTATATTAGTTGTAACACAACAGTTTTTAGTACATAATAATTAAGTGATTGTGCATCAAGAACACAACAAATTACACAAAAATAAAAGATAAATGCATTAATAATTACGATATTCTGATAACTCAGTCATATTGAAGATATAGTGTAGAAGCACTGCAAAGACTGATTAACAGAATAGTAAGATATTTGCGTTAGGCTTTCACAGCCATCGTCTAACTTGTTAAACTGTTTGTTTAACAACTGTTACATGTTTTATACAGTGTTGTAACAAATTGAGGTGTAGACTATGATAAAGATCTCGAAAAGTAACAGCACTTGAATCAAAGTTTTATGGAAGAATGTTCAGAATATCATGAATTAAGTAGACATGCAACCAATATTGCAGTATTTCAGTCATAGCTGCAGGATATGACAAAATTACTGGCTGAGGGATATACAGACCAACAAAACAATAGAGATTTTTATATCAGCAGTAGACCAGAAAAAATAAGCTAATTTAGTTGCCAATAACCTAATGGATATGGGACCCTAATTAGAAAAATTGTGCAAAAGCTAGTACTATCATTCAAGAGATTTTCATAGTTGTGTTTTCCATATTATATTAAGAGAGAACAAGAGAAATGTTGATATAAAAAATAAATTGAACTACATATCTAATGTTTCCCACAGGTTTTAGGCCTCAAATATATCCACTGGTAAAGTAAATTCATAATGGATCCGTTCACCAGTGGATAAAATAATAGGTATTGGCGGTATGCCTAAAATACGATTTTCATTAACAAAAGAGACATCTTTTTCATCACAACATATCTGTATGTTAATTTTCTTTTACCTCCTATGAATTCCACAAGTAAATAGTTTCCTACACTAAGTTCTCTGTGAGTTAGTGAGCAAATTTGTTAAGGTCTTCATAAAGGTCTATGTCATCATAGCTTCTACCCCTTTCAACACACTCTTCGTCCACCATATATTGGTGATGCATTCATAAAATGTACTAGAACACATCCATCCATTATCTGAAGTTCCCAGAGCCCCTTCCTTTGGAATACTTGTGATATAGATGATGGAATTCTTTCTCATGCCAACACAATCATTGGAGCAGCAATTTTCCCAGCAGCATTAGCTGTTACCAAAACTGTTATATTTTGTATATAAATTTAAACTGACTTAAATATTCCTCAACTTTACTGAACCACTGTTTCAAATTGTATTCACTTATATTTCCCAACTGGGAGTTAAATTCTGTGACACTCTGGGATATTTCTCGATGTCTTCTTAAAAACAAGTATCACTGGGACAGCTATGAATAAATGATTTCTCCCTCTCTTTAGAATTCCATCCAAAAGCTGAACTTTTGAAATAACAGAATGTCTTACTGATAGAAAATACATTTTACTAGGACTGATTTCTCTTTTTTGTTTAAAATTGTAGAAGGGACCATAGAACAAACTAATGGTGATTTTACATCCCTCAGATGCCTCAAAGTACTACAAGGAACTGTCGTGCTTTTTTGCTGCAGTAGCTGCTAGGAATCCCTTTTTTACATCCTCTAGAGCTTTGGCCAATTGCTCTTTCAAATAATTCCTTTTAGGTGCCATTTCTGGAATGAACAAAATACCTACTTATAATATCAAATATTAATGGAACTTATGATTGCCACTTTAGAACCAGTGATTGCCACCAGTGGCAACACCATAATTTTAAATAGTAAATTTACACGTTGTAATTAATTAAAAATAACCCACACCAATAATGGCCACTTGTGCCAATGACTGGTATTCATAAAATATTTTGCAACCAGTCATTGCCAGGTTTATTTCTTTAGAAACATGGAGCCGTTACTGAATTTAAACAGTAAATAAATGTATTTCAGAGACTTTAATAAGTTTATAAAACAATAATTTACAAAAGTGAATTAGAAAAAGAAAAATGGAACAGGAAGCAGTTTTACACAACACTAGTCTAAGTGGTATATAACAAAATTGGCTGAAGCTTGAGTGTTGTACAATAGGACACTGTCTGGTCTGGTCAAGGACTGATTGTTTAAATTTTTAAAATAGCCAACATCTTAGAACAATAAACTATAAAAAGGTTTAATACAGATATCAAGGATAGCTATTAGCACTCTGGACTAATCATATAGTTGGTTCATTGATACCATATTTAGTATGGTGAAATGACACATAAGATTTCCGATTTTTGTTTCTACTGGGTATTTTGAGACTAACAGGTGATAACAATTGAGGACAATTTATAATAGCATTAATGACTTTGTGCAGCAAACATAATTCTAACAATGTCCTCCTTCACTTAAGTGCTGGTAAATCAATACTTTCTCTTACCCACTGATGGTCTGTTCCTCTCTCTAGTATCCACTCCTGAAGACTGCTATCCTCAAAAATTTATTATTCTGTTATATCTGTATAGTATTATATTCCATTGTAGAATCAGATGTCAGCATGTCAGGACCGAAAATTGGTGTGAAATATGAATGGAAAGACTACAGTGTATGTACATCTCTTTAAAAAATATTTAGTTAAACATGTAGTATGTGCCATTTAATTTTCTCAATGTTGACACAATTATGCAAATGAAGCCTATTTCTAACATTTAACTATAAATAGTGCATCTCTAATTTTGTTTAAATGTAAATATGTACAAATTCTACCCTAGGGGAATTTTATATTTAATGTATTAGGGTTCAACAACATAAAGTTTATTAAAAATTCTGCTTTTAACAGTTACAGAACTTTTCAAAAATTTTATTCAAAAGATCTTTTAGTGATTATACAATTAAGCAAAATAAATTGAGATTTATTAACAGTTTATAAGGAGTGACACTGTATTTAAATTGATAAATATTTAAGTACTTACCAATACAAATGTAAGTAGTTTTTCTATACAAAAGTACAAATCAGCGCAGTTGTTAATAAATTAAATAACCAATGCACAAAACTACACAATAACACAATTTACATCTTAAATTCTTTTTACTTGCATACAAAAATAAACCGAACCATTTTTCAATGAAATATGTATAAAAACAATAAAAACAAAACGTAATATGACATATGAAAGATGACATGTGTTAAATTGATTACGTCCTTTAAAATAAGCTTTTTCAGCTACACTGACTGTATATCTTAGAATGTTATAAAATGTCAATAATCGCCATCACTGTCTTAAAAAGAAAGGCAGGTTAATTTTCAATCATGGAGGATCACGTCATGGAGTCAGACGACAATAAACAAACTGTTTCAAAAAGTAATAACAAACAGTGGGTGAAGTTAAATGTAGGTGGTACATATTTTTTAACAACCAAAACAACATTGGCAAGAGACCCTAACTCTTTTTTGTATAGACTGATACAGGAAGATAGTGATCTAATTTCAGATAAAGTGAGTTGTTTCCTCAAACAATAACTATAAATATTTTTTGAACTCAATAATAAACATATCGCTATGTGTATACACATTTTGTGTGTATGTCTTGCTTTACTATGTGTTTTGTTATTAAATAAGTTATTTTGATATTTTAGGATGAGACAGGAGCTTATTTAATAGACAGGGACCCCAATTACTTTTCCCCTGTATTAAATTACCTTAGGCATGGAAAACTGGTAATTAACAAAGGTCTAGCAGAAGAAGGTGTCTTAGAAGAAGCAGAATTTTATAATATTGCTGAATTAATTACTTTAGTTAAGAGGAGAATTCTGCATAGAGAAAGCAAACCTAGTAAAGATGGTAAAAAACATGTTTATAGGGTTTTACAATGCCATGAAGATGAATTAACACAGGTAAACCATCTAATGTATACAATTATGTGGTCTATGTGTATTTTAACATACTAACTTGATAAATGACTATCATATTAAAAAATACAGTGCTCTACAGTTGATATAGATCTAAGTAATATTTTAGGCCAGAAATAGCCTGAGCTTGTAAAAATTTAATATAAATACTACATTCACACATTTACAAAACTTATTTATATCATTTCTAAATAGAGTACAAAAAGAACAGAGGCAAAAATATTTTAGAAAATTATTTTCAAAATTGAGGTGTGTCTAAAAGCTGCTTTCATACAGTGATGAACTGAATTTAAAAATATTTACATAAATTACATATACATAGAAAGTTTACCATTTATAAATACAACTCAAAAGGTACTTACATTATGGAGTTTTTACTGTACAAGTGTACAGTAACCAGAAAAAAATCTGCCCAACCTTATTTTGGAACATCATGGGTGTCAAACCATGTCTCCTCCAGATAAACAATTTCTCTTCTACTTTCTCGGTATTTATGAGTTTGAATTAAAAATTCTATCCTCTATATTTGTAGATGAGCAGATTCCATAATCACTTGGCATTTATCGATTGTTTTTATTTTAGATAGCCTTTTTTAGAAGACATTGCCTTACTGTCTCACTGTGGGGTGGAGACCATCTGTTCTTCATACATGTTATACATTTTTCTTCTAATGATAGTAACATCACTCCAGTCTGGTTTCCTAAAAATGCCAGCATATTTTCTTTTTTTTTCTACTTAGTATCAGTTGTTTTATGGACCACACAGTGTTCATTGATCTTTTTGTTAAGGCTGTCGCTTCCTTCACTGCATTAAATTTGGAAAGTCCTTGTTTAAGGAGGGTAGTGTAAAAGTCAAATATAACTTTTCTGTGTGATCTCAAAGACCAATGAAGACAGTGTGGTCAATAACAAAACAACCCATAGTAAGTAGAACAAAAAGAAAAGACGCTGGCATGTTAGGAAACTAGACCTGAATGATGTGGACATCCTTAGAAGAAAATTTATAACATGTATGAATAATAGATGATCGCCACGTTAAAACCATCATGCATATGTTGCAGAAAGTTTACACATGAATCAAGTGCTGCAGTGAGACAGTAAGGCAAAGACAGCTTTAAAATAAAAACAATTGATAAATGCCAAGTGATTATGGAATCTGCTTGTGTATAAATATGAATGACGAAATTTTTAATTCAAATTCATAAAAAGTGGAATAGTAATTGTTTATCTGGAAGGGACATGGTTTGACACCCATATAGTTCCAAAGTGTGGTTGGGCAGATTCTTTTTGTCGCTGTACAACAAAAGCTTCATCAAGTAAAGGCAAACATATTACAATAATCCATGCAGGAAAAAAAAAGGTTTTATACCTAATGCTTTAGCCTTGTCATGCAAAAACATTAAGGACTCTCGTGTCGACTATCATAATGACATCACATCAGAATTATGTGAGAACTGGTTCTCAGCGAAGTTATTGCCAAATATGTTCTAATGACAACAAACTTAAAATCCAGGAATATATGCTGGAAAATGATATATATTATGAAGATAATTATTCTAAAAAACAATTACTTGAAACTTTAAAATTATTTTCCATTAGAAAACATCAGATACATACATCAGAAAACAAACATTATGTACATGTTTATTGTACAATGTTTATTGTACATGATCTTTACTTTTTACTATTTTTTGTATTTTTTTGTAAATGGTTCTACCATTGGAATGAATAAATAAATAAATAAAACATTATTGTGACAGTTTGGCGGAAGAAATGGGTCATACAGTATTAAGGCGTTCAATCCTATTGACCACATATGGCATGAGCTAAAAGCATTGGTAAGGAGAAGTAATGTTTTGCTTACCCTAAATTCATCTGCGGTTCTTCTAATTGAAATTAGAAATAGAGAAAATAACCAATGACAGCTGGAAAAATACAGATAGGTTGCTCAAAGAAACAATTATTATAGATCTAGATAATGAAAGTGATAGTGAAACTGACTTGTCCATGTAATTTTTTTTAAATGTAAGTACTTTTTGAACTGTATTTATAAATAGTAAAGTTTCTATGTATACGTAATTTATGTAAATATTTTTAAATTCAGTTGGTAACGGTATAAAACGAGCTTTTAGACACCTCAATTTTGAAAATAATTTTCTAAAATATTTTTGCCTCTATTCTTTTTGTACCCTATTTAGAAATGATAAAGTTTTGTAAATATGTGAATGTAATGTATGTAAATATGTTTGCAAATATTATAACTTTAGTAGACAATGATAAAGACCGGCTTTTAAACACACCTAACAATCAAATACATAATGCAAATCGAAAATAAAAGTTTAATCTTGTCCAGAGGCGATCTCCCGCTGCCTTGCGGTAAACACTTATAGATAATAAATATTAATGACTCTCTTACATCCCTACTAGGACTATATATCACTCCAAGGCTCCAAATAGTGCAGAATATGCTTTAAATGCCAGAAACAACGTCAGTGAGATATATAATAATTAGGACTATTGCTGCCATAGTTGCAGATGAAAGATCAGGAGGAAATACTTTAAGACCACAGCATATAAACACTGAACACAGTATTTTGTAAAACCAACACAAAATAAAATAATACTGATTACTTTTTTGATCAGGAAATACTTTATCACTTATATTCATCATCATCATCATCTTGGTGATACAGCACTTAGATGGCCTCTACCTTCTCAAGCTTTCTACGCCATTCTGTTCTGTCTTGTGTTACCCCATCCATCCACCTCAGCTTTGGTCTACCCCGTCTTCTCATTCCCACAGGTTGTGCTGTTAAAATATTTTTTGTCATGTTCGATTCAGGGGCCCGGGCTACATGTCCTGCCCACTGCACGCGGTTTCACTTAATTATAGTAGTAATATCTTTACCACCAAATGTATGCTTGTAGATATTCTGCAGTTCAAAGTTATATCTACGCCTCCATATTCCGTTCTCACAGACCGCTTTGAATATCTTGCGTAGCACCTTTCTTTCAAAAATCGATAGAGCGGATACATCTGTTTTAGTTAGCGTCAGATGAATCCATTCTATCGATTTTTGAAATCACTTATATTATCAGATACAAATCTGATATTGATATATTTATAAATAAAAAGGTTTATGTTTCATAGTATCAAACTGGTAGTTTTAAACAAAACAAACATGAATATGATACAAGAAGCCTTAATTTGAATTACCCACTTCACATAATATTGTCTCTAACAGAGAGTCCTTTGTATGCATGTAATAAATTTTACAATAGTTACCATCTGACATTCAACAGGAAACATGTGATGTCGATACATATTTTTTTAATCTGTGATTAGTAATGTGACATTATCTGCTCAAGTATGTTAAAAAATTTATGCAAATAAAAATTTATTCTAATATACTATACTTATAACAAACTCAACCAAGTTGATATTTGATTGATTTGTACCCTTCTGTAAGTATAATAAACATTTACATTTATTCTAGATGGTATCAACAATGTCAGATGGCTGGAAGTTTGAACAACTAATAAATATTGGTTCCCAATACAACTATAATGCTGACGAACATGCAGAGTTCTTATGTGTAGTAAGCAGAGAATGTGGTATACCAGATTGTCCAGAAATCAAGAGTGACCGGGAAGACAGAGCTAAGGTGTTGCAGCAAAAGGGTTCTAGAATGTAGAGTGTAAAATGTACTAGAGGTCAGGGAGATCATTTAAGCTAAGAACCTATACAGATCATATCAATAACTTTTCCGAAGTTTTATTTTTTATTTCATTTCATTGGTGAAATTATGACAACCTGCTGTTTCAAGTAATGTAACTGTTAATTATTTTCTTAATAACATCTATTTGGCGAATAAATCATTTAATATTAAATATGTAGAATATATACTTCTTGCAATATATTTGATCTCAGATTTATTCCCTAATGACAAAAATTAACAGACACAGAAATAACGAAGTTTTGGTCTTTCTGTCCTCCTTCAATTTGTATTGTATACAATATTATTGTTTCTGCCATTCATAGTTTATCAATATAATATGGTGATGCCATAGTCTGCCAAATATATAAAGGTAGATATTTCAGAATAAATTTTTCTTTAAATATATGCCTTATATCATGCTCTTTAATTTCTTTTTAAGCTTCTGAATATTAATACCAACTTTTAGCAGTATTTTGTTACATTTTAAACTGCATTTATAAAGTTATTGTGATATGGTCTGAATAGGTATAGAACATTGGCATATGATCAAGAAATTATTAAAGAAGATTGTGTCTAGATGGGTTTTCTACAGTTGCATTTATATAATCTTAATTTGTACAAAATATGTGAGAATGTCCTAGATATTGGCCTCTACGGTTAATTTTATTTGGATATTCCTTCTCTTTTAAGTGCTTTATTTAACCTCTTATATAGTATAGTTGGGTTAATATTTAAAAGTGTTGTTGCAGTTCTATTGTGACACCAGTTATTTAATATTGGCTCAGATACATGTCTTCTTTGATTGAATGCTGCTAGGGGATTGAAAGTGTAATGAACATTTGTGTCTAATATTAGTAAATATGGGAAATGAGTCAATATAATACAATAAATAAGTATTATGAACATACATTGGCAACCTTTTCATCATTTGAAACATTTATTTACAGAAGCGAAGCTTCTATACTCAAGTGTTGTATCAATCGCGATTGATTCGTTCGTTTTGATTCAATCACTCCAAAGTATTAAACGACCAAATTTGCTATAGTCCATTTCCATCATATTGATAGCACATTATGTATGTAAATCCCTAAACTGTTGATACGGGTGACTTAATGAAAAATAGATATTTGTCAACAAGTTTACAGAAGTATATAGGAAAACAATTTTAAATTGAGTATGACCACCAGGTATTGTAGGCTCCGTTAATAAATAATATTGTTCTAGTTTTCTTAAGTTTATTTAGCGGAAAGAGACACTAATTGTACATAATTCGACATAATAGTTTTCACAACATTCAGATGGCCATAATTCATAATCACAAGTGTCAAGTCTAAACATAAAGTGTGTGGTTATCTTCTTTTTTTTCAAATTGAGTGACAATCAGATCTGTCAATGGCACGAAATTCAAATAAGACTACAGTTCGGCCATCCTGACACGTCTGATCGTCCTCGATCAACCTAATATTACAGTATATTAATTACATAACTAAGACATTTAACATTCATGACTTTCATAAGACATAACATAATGGATATTTGAAATGAACATTTTCCTTTAAAGTTTAAAACATACAGTAATAATAATAATAATTCATAATGAGTTAAATAAACAAATCATAATAATCATAATTCATAATGGTTTAAATAAGCAAGGCATAACATTCATAATAGTTTAAATAAGCACGACATAACATACATAATGGATTGAAGTGTCCATAGGGGTACAAATGGAAAACATAATATCCATAACACACCCTAACTGTCTCGATGTAATGGTACAAGTAATGGATTATAAATAAGCATAAACATAATTGAATAAAAATTAAACATAATTATTTTAACCCTAACTAATAATGAAATTGATTATTTATCATAAGCTCTAATCCTACTACTGTCTATAATTTCCTCATATGGTACTTGTGTTGTTTGGAACCCAACAATATCATTCACAATATACCTATCATTTGGTAGCTCTTTCACAATCTCATACGGTCCTCTAAATTTTGGTATAAGTTTTTTAGCTACTCCAGGGGTTGTGTCTACGTTGGAAATCATAACATATTGCCCCACCTTAAACTTTTGAGCCTCCTTATGCTTCTTGTTATAATACTGTTCATTTACATTTTGTGCCTTAATTATTTGTGCTTCTGCCTTAGTTCGAATCATTTCTAAATCCCGTTCTTCCTTATCAATATCTTGTAATGCTTCTCTTAAATTATCCCTAATCTTTCCTATTTGATCTCTTCCAAAAAGTAACTTAGCTGGGGTTTCTCCTGTTGATCTGTTTATTGTATTATTGATGCAGAATTCCACTTCATGTAATGCATTTGGCCAGTTGATTTGTTTTTCATCGGTTATCTTTGCTAGAAGAGGTGTCAATAACCTGTTCATGCGTTCTATTTGCCCATTGGCTCTCGGACAACCACTTGCAATCAGTATGTGTTTGATTGTATACTCCTCCAAAAATTTCTTAAAATCATGAGAGGTAAAACAAGATCCTCTGTCTGAACTGATAACGCTCGGTACACTATAATTGGCAAAATGTTCAGTTAAATATTTAATTACTTCTCCTGTATTTGTTGATTTGCAAGGATAGAACTTAATAAATTTAGTAAACCCATCAACAACTTCAAATATATATTTATTCTTATTAAAAGGAGCTAATGGCCCATAGTGATCAATATGAAGCATTTCAAAAGGTAAATTGCCCTTAGGTATACTATGTAGATATCCTTCTGATTTGCCACTTTTAGGATTGAATTCAATACACTTTAAGCAATTTTGAATATGATTTCCAATCTTAAATTTTAATTTTGGAAACCAATATGTCTTGGAAATAATTTCAAATGTTTTGTCTGTTCCGAAATGACCCAATTCATTATGATAGTGATAGATAACTGCTGACTCCATACTCTCTGGTACATAAAATGCAATGTTATCTTTCAGTTTTCTATATACTAACCCATTTCTTAATTCAAAGAAAGGATGATCTGTCTCCTCAAGTCTTTTTCGAAGATCTGAAATAACTGTATCCTTGGACTGTTTTAAAGCCAAAGTTTGTTCAATAGTATTTCCTTCTAATACCAGTACATAACTCACTCTGCTTAAGGCATCTACATGTTGCATTCTTGTATTTACTCTGTGCTCAATAGAGTAATCATAATTTTGCAATAACAAACACCATCTCATAATCCTTGGAATTATATCCTTTTTACTCATGGTTAAGCGAAAACTGTCACAATCTGTAACTATTTTGAAAGGGATTCCCTGTAGATAAACATGAAACCGTTTAAGTGCATACACAATACTCAAGCATTCAAGTTCGTAGCTATGGTAGCGAGACTCATAGTCAGTTGTTCTCTTGCTAAAGAAAAACACTGGGTGAAATTTGTCATCACTTTGTTTCTGAAGTAAAATTGATCCATAGCCTACTTGGCTTGCATCACAGTGTAGTTCTGTTTCCCTACTCGGATCATAAACTGCTAAAATAGGTTCTGATGTCAGTTTTGACTTCAAATTCTCAAAAGCTTGTAAATGTGTCATTGTAAATTCAAATTTGACATTTTTTCGTAATAGGTCATATAACGGCTTGGCGATGATAGAGAAGTTCTGTATAAAACGTCTAAAATAACTGGCAAGGCCTAAGAATCTATGCACCTGCTTGGTATCTGTAGGAACTGGATACTCTGCAATAGCTTTCACATTATCTTTATTAGGACATATACCATTTTCATTAATCCTGTAACCCAGAAAATCTATTTCTGTTTTCAAAAATGAACATTTATCTAGTCTTAACTCAAGTAAATTCTGGCTAACTAATATTAAAACTTCTCTTAACACTTCTAGATTTTCTTCGATAGTCTGAGTAGCAATTAATATGTCATCAAAATATATTAAAACATTTCCTTGTTGGCACAAATCTTTAAAAATTTTATTAACAAACCTTGCAAAAATAGAGGGACTTGAGCTCAAACCAAAAGGTAATTTAAGAAATTCATACTGACCTGAAGGTGTAACGAATGAAGTATACTTAGTACAACTTTCATCTAAAGGAACATGGTAAAAAGCATTTTTCAAATCCAATTTAGAGAAATATTTCTTATTCTTTAACCTGTCTAAATGATCATCTATTAGCGGCAAGAGAAATTGATCTCTAATAAGATATTTATTTAAAGTACGATAGTCTACACACATTCGATATTCATTTGACTCCTTCTTGGTTAATACTACTGGTGAACAGAAAGGTGAATCACTTTCCCTAATGACATTATTTTCTAATAAATTAGCAAGAATTTCATCCAATGACTTTTTCTCTGCATAAGATAGTCTACGTGGTCTGATACTAAAAGGTTCATTTTTAGTTAAAGTAAGCTGTGCTTTGAAATCACACTGTGGTCTTAATGGTTTATCATAATCAAAGTAATATGACTTCAATAAAGTTTGAACACTAGTAGTTATTTCAAAAGGTAAACAATAATTAATATTCAAGTCTGCATCTAAATTTACCATATCGTTAATAAACAAAACATCTGTAAAAGGAAACTGATAGTCCTCCTCTGTTTGTACACAAGAGTTTTTATTTATTTTAAAAGAACCATTTGAAAAACTTATATTTTCTATGGATTCATTGTTTATAAAATCTCGACCCAAAAGTAGATTCCAACTAAAAGAATCTTTCTCAACAACATAAAATTTTAAATTTACTGATATGTCATCAAAAATAACTGTGTCATAAAAAAACCCTAACACTTTTAAAGGAGATTTATTTATACCTGAATAAGATTCAAGATTAGTAGAAGAAATAATATCTTCTGCCTTTACAAAATTTTCTGATATCAATGATATTGGACTCCCTGTATCTATTATACCATTTAATGTTATGCTATACTTATCTAGAACCAGGTTTAATACAAAAGGATCCGTTTGGCTCATAGGACGTTCCACTAGACCCATGGCTCCATTACTATCTCGGGTAGTTGAATCTGCAACTTGTTGCACCACTTGCTGGTTTCTATTAGGACAGTCTCTTACCATATGATCTTTGCTTCCACATCTAAAACATGATCATCCCCTATCACGCTTGGCTTGTCTGCACTCTGTCACTTTGTGTCCGGTACGACCACAATTAAAGCATTTTACAGGAACTGGCATCCGACCCTGTGTTGCTGTATGAGGTTGGTTCTGGCTAGAACTTACCCTATAACTTGATGCTGTAGCAAACCTTTGTCCACTTCCTGATACCTCATCTTTAACAACACTCCCCATTAACTTATATAAATCTTCAGTGCTATTGAGTGTGGATAACATCATTTTGGCTTGATTTTGAAGTAGGCGATCATCAAACCCATCAATCAGATAATGTATCATATCTTCATCCTCAACTCCTGCTTCGTTGCCCAGTAACAGTTTGTCATGGAAATATGCTGAAAAGCTTTCACTCTTTTTCCACCTTCTAGTCTCCATCTTTCTTCTCGACGACACTGGATCATAAGTTCTCCCATACATTCTCCTAATTTCATTTTTTAAACCTGTCCAATCTGTGGAAATTAAATTTGGTTTGCTGAGGTACCATTCCTTCGCTTTTCCGGTCAATTTTCCAATGACTAACAGTTGTAAAATATCAGTTGGAACATTATACACAGTTTTGATTTTTTCTATTCTTTCTAACCATATTGCAACATTCTGGCTTTTGCCTGTGCCTGAAAATTCCGGCATTAAATTTGATAATTCACTGTTAGTAATTTTTATGGGGTTATGTGTCGGCATCTGATTTTCTGGACCGGCAATTTTCTTTTTCTCTTCATAATCGAGGATTGCCTGTACCGCTGTATGAACAATTTCAGCTATACTCGCCTGAGCGACGGTGTTTCCACTTGTATTTTCAATTTCGGTGTCTGATCCCGGCATGGCTATCGTCAATACTAAACACAATTTTTAAATCTGCAAAAATATCGGCGATCCACGTAATCCCACTTCTGATTCTGTAGGCTCCGTTAATAAATAATATTGTTCTAGTTTTCTTAAGTTTATTTAGCGGAAAGAGACACTAATTGTACAT